GCCCGGTCTCCGGTCTTCCTTGGACAACTTTCTTTCCCTCACCTCTTGGGTCACCAGAGTCAGTGTGCCCTTGTGTTTGCTTCGACCAGCTTCCCAGGTGGCTGAATTTTGCCCCAGAGCACGATGCTGTGACCTGAGGCTCCAAAAACCCCAAGACAAATGTGGCAAATTTCCTGATCACAGCAGCTTCTCTGGATGGTAAAACACATACCTCTCTTCTGTGACATCTTAGACATCTTAACCCACACGTTGCTTGAGTCAACTTAGCCCAGGGGTTTTAACCTTTAACAGGGATGGACAACCCTCAAAGGATCCATAGATAAATTTTAAAGGATTTCATTACTTCAGAAAGAAAAATAATCTTTATCGTTACTAACCTCATTAAAATCAGACATTTCCTCCAATAGTGGAATCCTGTCACTGCAGTATCTGTCACTTCATCACTAGTAGAAATCAGATATATTTTTTTAAAGATTTATTTATTTATTCATACAGAACTAGGGTACAGGTCAGAGATGTACACTGCTGAGGGGAGCAGTGGGCGGGTCAGGAGAGGTCTTCGCGCCATGTGGTCACCTCCGGTGCAGGCGGGATCGAACTCATGCAGAAGTGGCTTTAGCTTCTTAGTGCTGTGCTTTAACCCGCTGAGCCACCAGGGAGGGCCAGAAATCAGATATTTTAACATCGCAGTGCTCTGTTGCAGGTCTTCACTGGTTTTGCAAGCTTATTGCTATTTCAAGTTAAGTCAAACAGCAGCTCTTCACAGATCTTCCTCCTCCTTACACCCAGTTGCTGCTGGTAGCTGCGGAGTGCCAGGATTCTGATGCATCATTTGCTTGGAACCTTTTTGCTTTCTCTCACTCCCTGGCTGGAGCTAGAACCACCACCCTCCTAGCTATGCACAGAGGATCTTGATCTGATAACAGAGTTTTCTCCCCAAAGGTAATGCTGCTGTAAGTGAAGGGAACTATTACTTTGCCACATTTTTGCACAACTTATATGCATTTAAAGGTAAAACAGAAAACCTGAACAATGGTTTGAGCTTATTGTGACTGACTTTGCTGTCACTCTCCTTTATCATCAGAATTTCTTTGGGAATGTTGGAAAAACATCATTTTATAACGTTAATGAGGACAGAGGGCAGTTAAATTCATTTAAAATAAAATCCAAATGCCTTACAGACACCACTGTTTACCTCTCCCAGCCTGTTCTGGCCGGTCTCCCCCTCAATACACTATATTGCAGTCAAGTGACTTTACTGCAGTATCTAGAATACAACAGGACATTTGCTCTAGCTCTTCCCTTCACCCGGAGCTCTTCTGCACTCGTGACTACCTCATTTGACTCCTACTTTCCCTTCATTCTGTTCAGAAGTCATTTCCTCAGGGAGACGTTTCCTGATTTTTCTTCCCAATGTGCTCTCCACCGCTGTTCATCTTTATCCTGCACCTCTGTTGTGTCCCTTACATAGTCTCATTATTCTGTCACATTTCAAAATGGTTCCTCCATTAGACTGAAAACTCCATGATGATAGGAACAGGGACTGATTTATTCATACGGTGCATTTCTAATTTGTAGCACAAGCTGGGCTTTAATAAGCTCTCAATACTTAATAGATGAATAACTTGAATGTAAAGCAAGCTCATTTTGTTTTTACAAGGGATTCCTGAGGAAATGTAAGATTTGTTACCAAAGGAAGGGTGTTATGATAGCAAAAGAAATAGGCATGACTTGATATTTTAGATTACAAAACATTTTTTTGCTTGATACTTATATAGTGCCTTCTGGTCTACTAACCGAGAGGGTTGGGCCAGCTCATTTTGGAAAGAGTTTAAAAAACGAAAAAAAGCCTGAAGACAAAAAAGATTGCCTATGGTTTGTACAGCCAGAGAAACCAACCGAAGAGGTAAGTGATATTCAAGAAATACTTAGTTTCCCCAGTTCTAGATTCAGCACAGTAGAAAATGATTTGCACAGTCCATAGAAAGTAGACAAAGTTATAGTCTTTAATTGTTCGATGACTTTTGAGTTGATTCTTTTTTAAACAAAAGTTTGTTTTTTAATCCACAGGTCACATTTTTTTGTCCACGTGAATGCACATGGCTTTCTTACGAAAAAGTAAGGTTACAACTTTTGAAAATTGATGGAACAAATAAGTTAGAGCATTGTTTTGATGCTCAGTTTGGGCTTTTTGATTCTAATAAATAGTTTCCAATGGGCAGTTTTGAGCCCTTCATTTCAGAGTGATTCCTGTGGAAAGCTAAGGGTTTTGTTTTGCGATGACATATTGCCTATTCCTTGAAAAAAATCTACTTTTTCATTGAAAGAAACATTCACATTCCTCTCTAACTTAGCATTTGTAATCCTATATTTTTAATCTAAAGAGTCACCTCAAGTTATATAATCCTCAAACTCCATCAAAACATGGATTTGTCCCTGATTGTAGATCCAGCAGTTGGTGAGTCTGTGGGAAAAGAGCTGTTACCCTCAAGACAGCGTTGTCCCATGAAACAAATAAAAATATACGACGGGTGCAGTTAGATTTGGATTTCAGATAAACTATAACAATTTTTACTGTAAGTGGATCCTATATTCCTTCACCTCTTACTCAGGACAAGAATTTTCTGCACTCCATTCTTAACCAGTGGTTGTATTAACTGAGAAACAGCTGTATTATAACAGCTAAGATCTTACAGTCAAATAAGCACTGGCTGACTATCAGGGTTATTTAAGTGTGGGCTAGTATTAGAAACAAAGTGTTCATCCGCGGAGGCAAAGTTAATGTGGTAGCCTCTGCCTTCAGACTGCCTGGGTCTAGCTCTGGACCCTCCTTAACGACTGCTGTGTACCCATGAGCATCAAGGATCATCCCAGGCTCTCTCTTAATTCCACATGCTCTGAGCTACAGGAAGGATTCCTGGCCAGCGCCTGGCCTGTCAGGAAAGGCGTTACTCACACAGCTGTTCTGAACTTGTCCACAATTTCAAATTAAAACTTGAGTGTGTTTCTATTTTTATTTCAGTTAATCAGGTGTTGCTGTTTCTTTTGATTGTGACGCTCTGTGGGATTCTGTATAAGAAAGTTCACAAAGCGATGGTGCTCAAGAATGAAGCAGGTACGCAAAGGGAAATCAGCCAGTCACCCAAAGACTGTGAGACTCCTCTATAGGCGATATTAAGACCTGTTGGTCACCAGGGGTCAGGGGAGGGACTGTGGGGAGTTTCAGTTTTACAAGTTGAACAATCCTGGGGCTGATGGTGGTGATGTTCGCATTACAGTGTGAAAGGATTTAATGCCCCTGAGCTGTGCCCTTATGCATGGTTAGGATGGCAGATTTCACTTTAAGGGTATTTATCACCATAGAGAAATTTATTTTTTTCTTTTAATTTTTTTATTATATTAGTTTATTTTTACATATTTTTGTGCATTTTTCCATCTCAGTTGCAATCCCCTTGGGTTTCCCATCACCATATCGCCCATGTGCCATCACCATAGTCCAGTACATTGAGAAATTTATTTTAAAAATGAAGCAGGTAAGCATGGATCCCTCCAGATGAGCTAAGAAAGTGCTTTAATGTCTCCCATTAAGTCCTTTCAGTCTCTGGACTCAGACATGGGCAACGAATCAGGCAGCTATGCTCTAGAAAGATCTGTGCACCTCAGACGTTAGCATGGATGGAAATCACACAGGGGCTGTTCAAACACAAAGTTTTGTTTTTAATCAGCACCTGAGTACTTGCATTTCTGATAAGCTCCCCATGGGTGCAGCTGTCCAGTTCTTGCTCCCCACTTGCAGTGGCTGTCTCTCTTCCTGCAGAGTTTCTCAAATACTTTCTTCTCTCCCCTCCCTGCTGGTTCACCCCCACCAGGGCACCAGCTGCCTCCTAACTCAACTTTAAAAGATTCTGTGTTAATCTTAGATGCTCTCCCATTTGCTCTGAGGTGGCCCATTTCCCTCCTCAAGGGTAAATTTCTGAGAAGGCAAAATCAGCTCACACAGTCAAGCTGCACAAAAACTAACAAGGGCGAGTACAGTGTTTATTATATATATATATATATTTTTTAAAGATTTATTTATTTGTGCATACAGAACTGGGGTACAGGCCAGAGGCTCAGGGGCAGCGAGAGGCTTCACCAGAGACAGAGTAGGGAGCAGAATAGGCAGATCGACGAAGTACACTGCTGAGGGGAGCAGCGGGCGGGTCAGGAGAGGTCTGCCACGCCATGTGGTCACCTCCAGGGCAGGCGGGAATCGAACTCATGCGGAAGCGGCTTTAGCTTCTTAGTGCTGTGCTTTAACCCGCTGCGCCACCAGGGAGGGCCATGTTTATTATATTTTTAATGATTTTACTCTTAATACTAGTCAAGCTTATATACTCACGTAGGGAAAATATGCAAGGGAAAAATATTACCTGTAGCTGTAGTGGCCAAAGACAAGTACAATTACCATTCTGTGTGTGACATGCATTCATTTCACACTTTTTTTTCCTCTTAAGTGAGAGTCTTTAGACACACACCAGTGAACAAAACAATGAACTTACTCTTGCCCTGTTGAGATATAGTGATGCCAGAATGTGCTGCTACAGAGCAGTATTTTATATCATAGCCAAAACTCAGAAGAATATTGCATTATTTATCTTGTATGTGAGTCAGGCCCTTTCTTTTACCTCTTTTCGCTTGCAATTAACTTTTGAGACTCAACTAGGGAATAAAGAAAGGAAGATCACAAACAGCCTACATTATAGCACTCAGACAAGGTAGACATCCCAAGTGAGGGAAGAGAACGTGTCATTTCTTCACGTTTTAACTGCGATTGCTAGGATATCCAATTGACTTCTTTAAAAAAAGCACTGAGATAATAGTGACATAAGCAAAATGGAAGGAATTTTGTCCTTTTATTAACATTTAATTTTTTTACATTGCTGTTCCTTTTTGTACAGTATTTGATGTCTCCTCTTAAGTGTAGTCCCTGTAAACATCCCACCATCCCATCACCTGTTAATGATCCCCATAGTCCCTTGTGCTCTTCTTGCCCATTTTAATCCTTTCTTCTCCTCACCCACTGCTTTAAGCGTCAGATTTATAGTTGCCTACAAGTTTTATCTGTTTTTTTGGCCTACAAGATACAAGTTTGTTTTCTCTCTCAAGGGATGTTTGATGTGCCACCCAGTGAGCTAGATGCAATCATTCAGATCAAGATTCGTTCTATTTAATGATTCTGTTGTCCTTAACAGGAATTTTGGCACCTCGTGATCCAAAGTGGCTGCTCTAACTCCAGCCATCATCTCAGCATACCAGTCCATGGCCATAATAAGGGGAAAAAAAGGGCCATAATAAGTCAGTTTGTTTAAGACAAACCCTTCACATTACTTGCACTGATAACCCATTGATCAGAACTTGATCTCATAGAGCTGCAAGGGAGTCAGGCATAGTTGGTGGCTGGCTCTGCATCGGGTAAAATTCCAACATTCTATTTCTAAGGGGAGGAAGAGAAACTAGATATTGGAAAGCAATCTGTAGCCTCTTCTGCACTATGCTATCTTCACTCAGGAGTGTGCAAAACAAGTTAACTGACTACAGTGAAATTCCTTTGTGTTCTAAGACACTGATTTTGATGTTTCCAGATGACGACTCTGAGACACCAGAGGAAGTGGAAGAGGAAATTCCGGTGGTGATCTGTGCAGCAGCAGGGAGAATGGGCGCGGCCATGGCTGCCATCAATAGCATCTACAGCAACACCGACGCCAACATTTTGTTCTATGTAGTTGGACTCCGGAATACTTTGTCTCGAATACGGTAATCTGTGTGGGGTTTTTGATTTTCTTTAATCTTCCTTCTTCCTTTTTATCCTCATATGAATTATTTTCTTTTGGCTTGCTAAATGTTATTCAAGTGAATGAGGGTATAACCTGAGATTTAGTTGGTTGTATATGTTGACAAACACATTGCTGAGCTGAAAAAATTAATTCCTTATTAATTTCTGGTAGGGCAGTGTATCATCCTACAGAAACAAGTTGTTTAATAACTTAGGAATGCCAAGTTTATATAATATTCTGTCTTTCTACATGGCTTCTTTCTTCTCTGCTTTCTTAGTCAGCTTACTATAGTTCATCATTGTCACTAATTATAATTTTTGAATTACAAACTGTTCCATTTCCTATCATATACCATGTTAGAGAATAAAATATAGTTAGATTTAGAAGTAATAAGCAGAAAATCAAATTTTAAAGGAATTGTTTAAATGCAGGCTATTTGTATAATCTTTGTATGGAGCATGGCTCCCTGAGCCCAAATATCATAAGAAAAAGTCAACCAATTTGACTGCATAACACTTAAAAGCATATAATAATGAAAAACTTCATAAGTAATATTAATTACACTATCAGGTGAAATTTTATCAACATGTATGTAAACAAAAGACCAGTCCCCCAAATATATATATACTTCTTAGAAAAAAAGCTTTAGAAGCATAAACATTAATTGAAAACTGGGCATAGAAGAAATACTCACAGAAGAAAAAATATGCAAACCACATGGTCAGCAACAGATGTTCTGCATTACTAATACAGAAGTATAAAATAAAACAGCAATAATGTAATTTTGCACTTACTAGGATGGTAAAAATTAAATAGTACACTATTCAGGTAGGAAATTGAACATGTTTATTCTTTGTTTATATCAAGTACACTTTGCAAATTGGGTGATACGTCAAGATCTATTAAAGGGATACGTGTGTATATAGTTCAACTCATTATCCCATTTCCACTGTTAGGAATCTGTGCAGCAGAAATTCTAGCACATATTACCAAAACATATGTACAACAAAGTTAATTTCAGCATTGTGGGAAATAATACACAAAAATGGCTTAGTGCTTAGCTGTCCATCAATGGAAGAGTATTTAAGTGTACTGGGGATATGACCTGACTGTTAAAAAAGAAAAAAGGTAACGTGCATATACTGACATGGAAGCAGATTGTTGTCACGTGGAAAATGCCAGTTGCTGTATCAGCATGTGGAATGGCCCATGTTATGAAGGCCATTGACTGCTGTAGCAGAATACCATAGACCCGGGCTTATCAGTAGTAGAAACTGATTTCTCAAGTTCTGGAGCCTGGGAAGTGCAAGATAAAGGTGCTAGCAGATGTGATGTCTAGTTAGAGGAGGCTTTCCAACAAGAACCCACTTTCTGTTTGAAAGAGGCTGCTCTGGGCTGGGTTCTAAACAGGGAGGAGGGGCCTAGGGAGTTCCTGGGGTCTCTTTCACAAGGCACTAAACTCATTCAAGAGGGCTTTACACTCATGACCTAATCACCTCCCAAAGCGCTCACCTCAATACCACACACTGGGGATGAGTTTTCATTTTATGAATTTAAGACACAAGAAGCAAACACAACAATGAGCCTGTAACAATGAAGATCAAAAACGCCAAACTATAAATGTGAACATGTACATATATTTGTCTCTGTAGAGGGAAAGACCCCCAATTGGAAAGCTGCCCAATTGTTAACAGTGACTATCTCGGGGTTGGGGGGCAGGTGGGAGCAGAGATAAAGGGATGTTCAAAGTGTTTTGGTTACATCCATGGTTCATTAAGGAGAAGGTCTTAATGAATGTATTTATGGATGACTTTTACAATGAAATGTCTTCTGGAATAGCAGCACTAGACTTTACCCCAATCTAAATGTACTTTGGCTACTGAGAGCTGTCTAGCTCTTCTTGCGTTTTCTAGCTTTCTCTTTGTCAATTCTCACTCTCCTCTATCACTTATTACTGCCAATTATACCTCAATGGGAATGAAAGCAGATAACCAACCCAAAAGGGTGACATAGGCAGTGTGTTCCCAGTAAGGGTTTCAAAGAGAATAGTGAGCCCCAATACTTTATGACGTTTGCACTGTTTCGCATTCTTGGTTGTCTAATTCACCACACCATTAAAATATTTTAAAAACTCTTCTCATTGATGTATAACTCAAAATTTAAAAATTGTCTAAGGCCCTTCCTGGTGGCGCCACAGGTTAAAGCGCAGCACTGCAAGCAAGCAGCAACTGCTTTAGTGCTGAGTTCCATCCCTGGCCCTGGAGCTGACCCACATGGTGTGGCAGACCTCTCCTGGCCCGCCTGCTGCTCCCCTCAGCAGTGTACTTCGTCCATCTGCCTGTTCTGCTCCCCACTCTGTCTCTGGTGAATCCTCTCACCACCCCTGCACCTCTGGCCTGCACCCTAGTTTTGTATGCACAAATAAATAAATCTTTTTTTTAATTATCTAATTCCCTTGCTCTACTCATGAAATCATCATTTGGATGTGCTAGTTCAAGTCTCTTGCCTATACTGAATTGAGTTGTCTAAATCTTTCTTATTGACATGACTTTTTTTGGGGAGGGCACTTTTATTGATGCTGTGTGAATGATTGATTTTTATGGTTCCAAGTTCACAGATCTATTTTTTTTAAAGATTTATTTATTTATTCATACAGAACTGGGGTACAGGCCAGAGATGCGGAGAGTGAGAGGATTCACCAGAGACAGAGTGGGGAGCAGAACAGGCAGATCGACGAAGTACACTGCTGAGGGGAGCAGCGGGCGGGTCAGGAGAGGTCTGCCACGCCATGTGGTCACCTCCGGGGCAGGCGGGAATCGAACTCATGAGGAAGCGGCTTTAGATTCTCAGTGCTGTGCTTTAACCTGCTGCGCCACCAGGGAGGGCCTACAGATCTATTTTTTTAACATATCTTAAGTTTATATTTCCTTTTTAAAAAGAAAAAAACTATTTATTTATGCATACAGAACTGGGGGTACAGACCAGAGAGGTGTGTGGGGGTGAGAAGATTCACCAGAGATAGAGTGGGGAGCAGAACAGGCAGATGGACTGAAATACTCTGCTGAGGGGAGCAGTGGGCAGGTCAGGAGAGGTCTGCTGTGCCATGTGGGTCAACTCCCTGGCCAGGGATTGAACTCATGCTGTAGTGCTATGCTTTAACCTGTTACACCACCAGGAAGGGCCCTGTAGATTTGTTATTTGTTCCTAAGATTTTTCTCTTTTGTTGCTTTTTTAAAAAAAAGATTTATTTATTTATGCACATAGAACTGGGGTACAGGACAGTGGTGCAAAGGTTGAGAGGATTTACCAGAGACAGAGTGGGGAGCAGGACAGGCGGATCGATAAAGTACACTGCTGAGGGGAACAGCGGGCAGGTCAGGAGAGGTCTGCCTCGCCATGTGGGTCACCTCCGGGGCAGGTGGGGAATGAACTCATGCGGAAGTGGCTTTAGCTTCTTAGTGCTTTAACTCACCACACCACCAGGGAGGGCCCTTTTGTTGCTTTTTAATCAAGCACAAATACTCCCCATGCGAATTTAGTCAATGAAAGTTTTCTTTTGAAGTTATTTCTACCAAGAATCTTAACGATGAATTGGATAAAAAGAGTTCTGCATGACTGAAAAAATGTAAGGGTAGATGCTGGGGTCAGGAGGAGAAGACAGGAATGAGGACAGATGGGGAAGCCTGAGAGATAGAGACAAAGACAAGGGGAAATTCAGATCATCCTTGGAGTCAAAGCAGCCGAATTATAATGACGTCATTCACAGGAGAACATTCAGCACGTCCCACTTCATAAAATTACAGCCCTGTTCGCACATGGCGAAGATTGTACTGACAACCACAGATGTTGCTTTATGAGACAGGGACACTTGTTCTTTCAGTTTCCTGTGGATCTGGGGAGGGGGCATTTGGTTATTGCTCTCTAGCTTCATTTCCTTTGCTGGAAGAATATGTGAATGTCAATAAAATTTTAAAAAGGGAAAGACCAGATTGGGGGGGTGGAGGAGGACTGGGAGCAGAAAGATTTATAGACTGAGCTCTACTGAGACTACACACATTTTATTTTTAACTTTTTAAGAAAGCCACAGATTGATTCTGAGGCAATAGGCAAATTGAGGGAAGGTTGGAGGTGTGCACTAAGTGTTCTGTCATCTCTTTAGAAAATGGATTGAGCATTCTAAACTGAGAGAAATAAACTTTAAAATTGTGGAATTCAACCCGATGGTCCTCAAAGGGAAGATCAGACCAGACTCATCAAGGCCCGAATTGCTCCAGCCTGTGAGTAGGAATCTTTGCATGGCAGGGACAGTCCTAGGGGAGAACCTTGCTCAATGTGGAATGGTAGTTGCTGGCACACAGATGGAATGTTCCAGCAGCCTCCCAGTTAGTGTGCCACCAACCCCACTTATTTATAATTTATAAGCCACCTGCACCAGAAAGGATTCAAGATGTGTTACATAAATATAATGAGAAATGAAGTATAAGAAAACATAAGATGTATCATGTGTATGAATGTGAGGTGAGGAGCTGGGGACCGCAAAGGGAGGCCAGAAAAAATATCCCCAAGTCACAGGTTGTGTGTGCTGCAATTAGACATTAAATTTAACTTAGAACAGCCTAGTAGCTAAGGAAAAATAGCATGACGGATTATAGACGTCATAGAATGGACTAAAACAATATTTCCAGGAGACGCCAACTTTTCCCTACCTTTGGGAATCTTTATTTTATTAAAAGTTCTTACACAAGAGCCCTCCTACTAAAGATTAGTGTTTTTGATGGCAAAACCAGAAAACACAGCATAAAATTGTAGTTGTTCCTTAAACCCGCTCTTGAAAATGCACTAAATTCTAAACCCTTTTTACAAGGTTTTTTTCCTCAGCTCGGGAGATTTATTCTCACAGTGAAGCTGAGTGGGGACTTTGGATTAAAGAGTCATGTGACTACAACTCCCACTTGCCCCAAGTTTCTCTCACTTTGTCTGGCCCAAGAAGAGGTGGAACATGTTGGGATGATGCCTGTGTCTGTGGTATGTGCGCATGTGTGGGATGTTGTATGTATGTGTGTGGTGTGTGTATGCACATGGTGTGTGTATGCTATGTGGGGTGTGTATGTGGGGGGTCTGTGGTGTGTGTGTGGTGTGTATGGTACACGTGTAGTGTTTATGTATGCATTTGAGGTGTGTGGTGTGTATGTGTATCGATTGTGTGTGTTTGTGGCATGTGGTGTGTATGTGTGTATGTATTTGGTGTGTGTGGAATATATGTGTGGTGTGTATATATACATTTGTGGTGTGTGGTGTGTATGTATATAGGCTGTGTGCATTTGTGGTGTGTATGTGTGGTGTGTATATGTGTATTTATGTGGTATGTGTATGTGTGGTGAGTGTGATATGCATACACACATGTGTGGTGCATGTGGTATGTGGCATGTACACTTGTGGTATGCGTGTGGTATGTACATGTGTGGTGCATGTGGTGTGTGGCATGTACATGTGTGCTGTGTGTGGTGTGGTGTGTGTGGTGTGTACGTGTGTGGTGTGTGGTATATATGTGTATGGTGTGTATGTGTGTGGTGTGTATGTGTGTGGTGTGTATGCATGTGGTGCGTGTGGTATGTGTGTGTGGTGTGTGTGGTGTGTGCCTGCTCCTGCCCTCGTGTTTAAGGCTGATCTCCTTCACAACCGTCATAACTGCTGAGTAGAAGAGGGCAGCTCCGTGCGGCCTAACAGCCTGGTGAGGGAGCCTCCATGACCTTCAGCTGCAGCACTTCAGAGATGACGGTGGCAGAGCCCCAGCCACCTGGGGTTTGCTTCTTGAACCGCTAACTGTCCAGTGCTGGTTTCGGCCACAGATGAGTCAGGTGCCAGAAAAAAATCTCTGGGGAGGCATCTTTGCAGCCCTTTTTCTGTCATGCTCTAGACATGGACCGAGCTGAGGCCACCGTCCAGCCGACCCTCCAGCACCCCTAGAAGGCACCCAGCCCCGCTTCCTTCCCATCACCATGCTTTTGTTTGTTTGTTTTAACAGCTGAACTTTGTTCGATTTTATCTCCCTCTGCTCATCCACCAACATGAGAAAGTCATCTACTTGGATGATGATGTAATAGTGCAAGGTACTTGCCAACTGTCAAGAACACCAGGAGAAGGAGCAGCTGGTGAACCACTGTGTCTCTTCATTTTCCAAGTAGCCATTTGCCTAGTGACTCCGTGTGCTGCTTAAAGTGGGAGTGTAGTAAATTGGCGTAAACATGGGACAATTTTGAAGAGACGGGTTGATAATCACTTCCCTGGACAGTTCGCTTTCTGGGTGCGCCTCTATGCCAACAGCTATAGTAAATAGCTCGGTGGCCTTTCCTTTCTCTGCACCCTGTGACAGAGGGGGATCACGTCTCCCGATGACAAGCTTTGGCTTGTACGTGTTGCTTTCTCCTTCTTACCATATGCAAACAGACACTGGCAACAGGAACAACTGAAAGAAAGAAACCTGGCCAGGGCATATGTGTGAGTTCATTATCTTTCCTAGGTAGATACAAGGTACTTTATCAAGTAAATTGCCAACCCACTTGATGTCAGGGACCACATGCTCTCTTCTTGCCCCTTCCTCCCATAGCAAAGTTGGGGATTATCTAAGCTCTAAGACTCCGATTTAGCCCCTCATGAACGCTAGAATATTGCAACTCCTGTGTTTCTAAATGCAGGTGATATCCAAGAGCTATATGACACCACCTTGGCCCTGGGCCATGCAGCCGCTTTTTCAGGTGACTGTGACCTGCCCTCGGCTCAGGACACGCACGGACTCGTGGGGCTGCAGGTGGGTCCTCTGTCTTGGGGACTGGTCTCCCCCACCTCCCGCTGCTGTTCCTCCCCGCCTCCACAGGACTGCAGGCTACTGTGAGAAGCACCAGTCTGGGCGGCTGGTGCGAGCATGGGCCTGGGCTGGAGGTTCTGGGCCCCTGCATGTATTGCCACCCCACCCTCCACAGGTTACTAAATCCTGCCCGTCCCTCTTTCCTGGCCTGAAGATGGCCAGCCATGGCAACAGTATTTATTTTGTTATGTGTGGCACGAGAGCTCTGATGAAATAGCATGCTGTCCCAGCATCCAGCGTGGAGTGCTTCCAAAATGACAGCTGTCATCTATGGGGCTGGTAATCACACTGTTAGATATAGTGTTTTCTGAGAAAGACTCCAGAAAACGCAGGTTCTATTTTCAGAATTTTGACCATCACTTTTTCTTCCTTTCATTCGAAGAAAATACTGATTATTGTTTCAGGGGAAAGAGTTCCTCAGGCTGGAGGAAATGAGAAAAGCTGAACCAACATGTAATGCCTAAACCACGGATGGCTTAAAATACTAGATGCTATTATGAACCTAAGGCTGTTTCTCCAACATCGTTCCAGGAAATACTTTCATATGTGTGACATTTAAGACGTGACCCACTTTAGGGCCCAGACCCAACTGTGTCAAAATCTCAGCTCCATCTGACTTAGTAGCTTTGTGACTCTGGGCAAACTGCTAAACCAATTTTCTCTCTTCTTTGTCAAATAACGGTATTAACGGTATTTCCCTTGTACAGCTATTGTGAGAATTAAGATGTGAATTTATTGTCTGCAATTAATGCAATGCAGATAAAGTTTTAGGGCAGTGCTTAGCACATAATTTGCAAGTCATGTCTTTTCCCCATCACATTTGAGCATTACAGTGAGGTGGACTGTTGGCCAGGTCCTGCTTCATTCAGATTACATTCATCCAACATCTACCTATTGAGGGCTTGTTATGTGTCTGACACTGTTTTCGGTACCAGTAAGAAAGTAAGCAAAACGAAAACTCCTTCCTTTTTGTAGTTTACATTCTAGTGGGAAGAGTCATTCAGAAAAAAGGGAAAATGGAGATGGGCTTGTGTTTTAAATTGCACAATCAGGGATGGTTAACTGAGATTGTGTGGCTGCATCCAGCACTGAAAGAACGGAAGCAAACACCTAAGCAGATACCCAGGGATGGTTAACTGAGATTGTGTGGCTGCATCCAGCACTGAAAGAACGGAAGCAAACACCTAAGCAGATACCTGGAAAGAGGTAGCAGTAGCAAGTGCAAAGGCCCTGAGTCAGGGGGTCTACCTTGTTTATACAAGGAAGGAGGTCAGTGTGACAGAAGGATCAAGGGGGAGAATGACAGAAGTTGATGAGGTGGTGTGGCAGATGTAGGTCATTTTAGGAGCTTTGAACGAGATGGGAAATCACTGGATGGCCCTGAGCAGATGAGTAACAAAGACTACAGTGGAGTTGAAAGGGTAAAGCAGGGAAATGGGCTTTAGGAGCATGAGAAGTCCAGTGAGTCGGAATGATGGCCTGGGCCAAGAAGGAAGCAGTAGAGGCCATGAGAAGTGGTCTGTTTCTGTGTGTATTTTGGAAGATGGGATCACAAGCATTTGCTGTCATTTGGATGAAGAGGGAAAAAAGAGGTGTCAAGGACAAACTAATGACCTAGGATATTTTGTGCCACTACCTGGCAGGACTGAGTTGCCATTAACTGAAGAGGGACAGCTTGCAGGAAGCAGGCTTGGCATACCATCCATTTGGAGATGTAAGCCAGAGCGGCTGTGTAAGCACCCAGCCTCCAAGAGTCAGAGAGTTGGCAGACAGAGAAGCTGGCTCCAGAGAGGTCAGGGCTCTCTCTACGCCACTAGTGGCCAGAGCCCAGTCTGGATCAGGCTCTCTGGGGAGTCAGTGCTAGAAGAGACAGGAACAGGTGCTGGGAAGGACACTTGGGACCCGAGACAAGGGGAAACCAGCAAAGAAAACCAGAAATGACCATTCACACTGGAGATGTAGAAATACCACACAATGGTTTCATGAAAATAAACGTTTTCCAGAAGTGAGATCCGCTGGTCAAGCGCATGCATGCTGTTGCTTTGCAGACCACGTACATGGGCTATCTGGACTACCGCAAGAAGACCATAAAGGACCTGGGCATCAGCCCCAGCACTTGCTCTTTCAATCCTGGTGTGATCGTTGCCAATATGACAGAATGGAAGCACCAGCGAATCACCAAGCAGCTGGAGAGGTGGATGCAAAAAAATGTGGAGTATGTAGAAATCTCATGTTATTTTTTTCGATGCTCCAGAACAAAGTCAATTAATTTTCTATGCATAACTCAGGGGTTAGAAATGTTTGTGCCACCCCCGGTGGCACAAGGGGTTAAGTCTCCCTGGTGGCACAAGGGGTTAAATCTCCCTGGTGGCTGCAGCTTGCTTGCAGTGCTGTGTCCTTACCCATAGCACCACCAGGAAGGGCCCCTTGTTCACCTTTTTATCTGGGTATTGTTATTTCCATTAGTCTTGATATTGTAGTGAAGTTACTCTACAATCAATAATGTAGAATCAGCATTTGATCTTCTGTGTAGGCAAAATACTAATGTTGTGAATCTAGATGAGAAAAATGGGAGTTTGTCGTTTGACAATTTTTTAAACAAAAGTTGAAAAAAAATGAAAGACCATAGTCCAATGATATAATGAGCATTATTACTTTAGAAGATTGGACTTGATTGGACTCCAGGCCAAAGGTTTGCTTTTCTGTTCCGTAGGGAAAATCTCTACAGCAGCTCTCTGGGAGGAGGGGTGGCGACCTCCCCAATGCTGATCGTGTTTCATGGGAAACACTCCACCATCAACCCCCTGTGGCACATCAGGCACCTGGGTAGGTGTTTTAAACAAGGCAGTATGCATTCCAGTGACCCAGTGAGCTACAGCACCAGGTTCTCCAATATGAACCCTCCAGGTGACTACTGAGGTGTCCTCGGGCTTGTTACCTGACACTGCTAGCTTTGATTTCTCCAAAGATGCAGCTGATAAAAGTGCTGCTGCAGTTTCTGGGAATTCATGAAAAGCAATCAAGAGTCATGCTTAGCAGATAGGTGTGCTCCTATCTGCTAAGCTAGAACGCTGTCAAAATGACTTTACATGCCTTCGTGGCTCTTGTCCAGTGGCCGACAGTGGACAAAGCCAAATGAATTGGTCATGACTTAACATGAACTCAAGGCAGCTGTCAGTGCATCTTTTTAGTTGTTTTCTCTGTGCTTTGTTAGTTTTTAATGCACTCTTCACTACAGACAGGCAAGGTTCTTGTACAGGCAGGAATGCCCTTTCTAATACCGATGATCTTGACCAAGCTGTTCCGTCTCCTGTGCTTCACTTTCTTCTTTGTAAATTGAAGACTTTTATATAGTGCTTAAAAGGAAGAAACTATCTAACACATGCAAATTCTTTAGAACAGTCTGTGAAGACACCTTCACATTCATTGAAGTAGCCACAATCCCAATGGGTCAGTCCTACTTGGAAATCGATGACCTTTTAAATTTCTAAGAGGTAACTAACATATTCTTGTTTCTGCAATGCCCTGAGTGGGATCCAGATTTTGCTGCCAAAGAAGTTACTAAAAATCATTGTTTTCAGATATTTGGGGCTATTTTAAAATTGGAGACAATTTGGGGTTTATGTTTATCAGGTACCTACTGTATTACCAAGACGGGGCTAGGTTCTGATGATCAAGGTGAGCATTGATTCCAATTCCCAGGTAATCCTGCAGAGTGCATGTCCCCGTTCTCCTTTTCAAAAGGACAAACTGTGGAAGCTAAACTGAATTCCTGTCACAGTGATTTTGTATAGATTTGCTTCTGCCTCATTGTCAGAACCTTCCAATTTTCCTGAGCATAACTACACCCACGAGATGGGGAAGTTAAAAACATGAGTATTCTACCTAACTTGTTTTATAACGTTGGATTCACTCTTAAGTTAAACATCAATATTTTCATGTGCTGAATGTACAGAAAACCCCATCAAAGTAAAGTGTCTATCAAAAATGTCCAGAAGGAAATAGCTATTTGGAACTAAGATGGATAAGGTTAAGAGTATTTTATGGTCTTGGGACAGACTCAAAATTACATTTTTTGAAATATCTAACTTAACTGACGAGAAGGGGCAGAATCTTTCCAAGGGAAAGACAGAATTTTTCTTTGCAGAAGGGCCTATGTTGGTGCTGATTTTAGAATCAAGGATGGTCTGGCAAAATAAATCTGCACACAAGTCATTTGAAAGGTAATTTCATTTTAGTGGTTTGGAAGCAAAAAGCCATTTAACAGTAAAGTATATTAATTTTGGGTTTAAACAGGGACGCTTAAGATTAAAAAATTTCTGAAACACAGGTAAAACAAAAAGCCCTTTATTTTTGGAATTAAGAGATGAAGATGTCCCACTTCACTCCTTTGATTTTTACCAGGAAGTCGTATTCACTTTCAATATGAAACTTTAGTTTCCTAACGAGTCTATTATTTTCCTCTAAACAAAGGCTGGAGTCCAGACGCCACATATTCAGAGCATTTTCTGCAGGAGGCTAAATTACTGCACTGGAATGGAAGACACAAGCCCTGGGACTTCCCGAGTGTTCACAACGGCTTATGGGAAAGCTGGTTTGTTCCTGACCCTGCAGGGGTCTTTAAGCTCAATCACCACAACAGCTGATACAACACGACGTTATGAACATACCCGGTACAAAAACGTGGAATGGTCCACCTGTAGCCTCCCAGGACGTTGTTCTTTATGAGCAGGATCTTTTACACAATTCAGATATAAAAAACAAAACTCCTGAGTGCAAACTGTATCTTGGACAACAGGACTGATTTATTTCCTCTTGGAAATCAAGATGAGGCAAAGTATATCATTGCAAAGAAAGAAACTCATCTAGAGAGCAGCAATTAATCTGTTTAACTCTGCATTACAATTAAATCCACACACTTAAAAATTTTTCTAAATGTATTTTTCACATGTAGGTGTTTTTTAATGGGCTGCCAGTTTTGTCTTTTGTAGACTAATATATTTTTTACGAATGTCTGAAAAAATAAAGTATTCATAGATTTTTATCATGCGTCTTATTCAACATGTTAAGTATGATAGAAGGTAAACTGATCTTAGGCTTAAAGGGAAAAAGAATACCACTAAGTCTTGCTAGAAAAAAATCTACATTGAAAGGATAATCATTTTGAACATTTTTTATTGTAAAAACCATCAGACTTTTAAAGGAATGTAAACACTTTTTCAATGTTGCTTAATGAAAAAGTCTCATATTGTCTTGTATAGGGTCTATCAATATTCACTACTCACCCATCATATTTAAGGAAAACACCATTTTTGGAAGCTCGGAAAATCCTCAAACCCATACTCAAATGTCTGTCATTAATTTAAAGGGCATTTTTTCCACGCAAATAAAAAATGATCTACTGTGAGGCTACATCGTTATAGATCAAAGCAACACCTAGTTACATGCTTTACATAATCCCAGGAAAAAATAATTCAATTGCTCCTCATTCCCGATGCAAGGCACTTCAAAGCACCCGCACAAAACATCCATGTAAACAGCAGTACAGTACATGATTTAAATAACATGAATGACTTTGACATGGCTTGACCTAAACTAAAGGAAAAAAAAATCCACCACAGCCACAGATAAAAAGCATGTTAAGATCCACAACACAGATCTGTTTCTCTTATCACAAAGAGATGAATAGACCATATAATAGCTTAGGGGGAAAAAAAATTAACCTAATAAATATTTTCATATTAAAAAACAGCATGCTCCCTGGGTATGCATGAAATCAGAATATTCAAAAGGGATCAGGCGTGAAATCGGATGGCATTTCTGAATACCCAGCTTTAAAATCCACGAGGTCTAGTAATCTGGACCGTTTTAGCACCTTGGAAAATGCATAAAGAAATCACAAAGGTACATTACTTCAAAGTAACCTTGCCGTGAGGTTCACTTAGTCCACAGTAGCGAGTATCAATGATGCAGAGAAAGGATTTTCTAAATTAGTGGCTATCAGATTTACCCAAGCAAGAAAAATTCTATATTATTTATCTTAGTACATCTCATGTACATAAAGCACCAATTTAAATAAGATTATCAAATATCTCCAGCACCTTGTTGCTCATCATGAAAGTTCATTTATCACTTCCATATTACATCCATAGAGCTAAATAGATTAGAATAGTGATAAGATACTGAAAAGAAATTTTCTTCTTTATCAAATGTTTATCTCAAGTAAAACAGCTGAAGTAATACACTTTAAAAGATCTACTGCGTCTTTTGGAATTCACTGTCCTAACAGAAAAGTCTCGGCTCACTAGAGGATTAACACCCAGGGGTGAGGAGGCCAAAGTGGGGGTCAGTGCCTTGTCAGGGACGGCTGGTCAGGCGAGCAGTGCAAGACCACACTCCAACCGGTTTCTACTACAAAGTGACTCACAAATGTGCTCCATGGTAACTCAGAGGTGTGAGTGTGATCACAAGCCAGGGAGCCCAGCAAATGGGACTAAAATTCTACCAGCCGAGACTCCACTGAGGTTTAACTTCACGTATGAAAATCCACACATCTGCCTCCCGGCCAGTGTAAGTCTTTCCAGGACTACGCTCTCTCAGGCGCACAGGGAAAATGCTGAAGGTAGGGTCATGCAGCTAGTCATCAAGTGTGTCTCCAGGCCGCTGCATTTTAAAATTATAGATTAAAAGTGACTCCCCAAAGAAAATTCATTTCTTCATAAATGAAACAGTTATAAAAAGCTGGAATGATGGTTAATTCAAATACAAAAACGCATATACAAAAATCCTATTCTTTCCTTTCCAAGCTACTTATCGGATCATACAGTTGATTCTATCACACAACTGTACATGATTACAGCATCAGAGTAAAACACTAATAAAATACTTGAGTTAGCAAAATGAGGGCCACGTCCTGACAACTGCATTAAAACTGCAGCACTTAAGCGGAGCTGAGACACGTTCTCACGCACGGTGCTCGTCCTCCTGGCCTTGCGTCCCACACTGACTACTGAAGGGCGGGAGCTGCTCGGGAAACGGCTGGGCCGTCCACTGCCCATTGGGAATGTCACCGAACGTCGCTTCTCCGTGGTCAGCAGCTAGGAGATGGGGGAGGGGGAAATGTTAGTATTAAAACTTTTATTTATTTATGCATACAAAACTGGGGTATAGGTCAGAGGGGTGGTGAGAGCATTCACCAGAGACAAAGTGGCGAGCAGAACAGGCCGACTGACCAAGTACACTGCTGAGGGGAGCGGCGGGCGGGTCCGTGCCATGTGGGTCAGCATCCCGGCTGGGGACAGAACTCACACTGAAGGGGCTTTAGCTTCATAGTGCTGCACTTTAACCCGCTGCACCACCTGGGAAGGCCCGCTATTTTAAAACTTGAAATGGCTAAATTAGAAGACTTTAAATATACGATGGGGAACTATCACTAAATTAGTTAAGCAAGCAGCTAAACTTGTCTTTTCACCTACAAGACTGAATAAATCCTCACATGTTTTTCAAGGAGGAAAATACAGCTGAGACTTAGAGTCAGTGACTTAAAGAAAGTGAGCTGTAAAAGCCCGTGTAGTTAGACATCAAATAACCATCATACTTTCACTTAATCACTAAGTAGATTTTTCTATTACTAAATTATTCTTGAAAAATTTCTCTTTAAAATTTTTTCCCAATTCTGATGAAACCAAGTCTTTGAAATGTAAACAAGAAGAGGGGACACACCCAGTCCATTTGAGGAGAAGCTGCAAGGTTCACTATTGCACGGATTTTCACTGTAAGCACCTCCATATGCTGCTTCATAACCCGGGTCATATTTTTCTTCCTTAACAGCCATCTTCTTTGCATCCTCTGTGGGAGTAAAAAACATTTAAAATGAATTTTGTACAACAATTTTGAAAAAAACTTGATTCAGAAATCACAAACAATTCTTTTTCTTGAACGTTCAGACAGTGGGATACAGCTTTTGCCATAATCCTTTACATGCTTTGTTCCACTCCACTAAATTAAGAACTTTGCAGCCTATTCAATGTAACTAGGTGGACTACCACTTTCGCAGGCCCACAGCGTCTGGGAGCACCTAGAGTTGATGGAAGACGCTGGCAAAAGGAGATCTGAATAGAGCTGATACTCATTATCAGGGCATTCTGGCTGCAAATATAATTGTTTTCTTTTTCCTACTTTTAAACCAGATAGCATATATTCCATAACATATATATACTACATGAATTGAATAAAAGGAGTAGTTAACGGTATCATACCTTGAGCCAGCTGTAGGTCAAATGTATATTGCACCTCTTGAACGTCTGTGTTTCGTTCAATGCCTTTCAACTGGTCTCTTAAATCCTTCAACTTAATGTAGTAATGCACCTTGTCCTGGGCCCGAGGGAACTGAGCACATCTCGCACTTGATGATGGCATAACATAGCAGAGCTAGGATCGGAACACCTTAGTCAGAAATTCAACTCTACTGAATCTACTTACATTAAGACTGGAGAATTTATTTTTTCATTGAATTAGGAGCTTTATACGTATCACATATCAATAGCATCTGAATTCAAATTTGTATATTTATTAAAGTTAATAATCAAAACGATAAGGCTTCTCCCACCCCATGTTCATCTATCAACTAAGTCTTTCCTTTTTAATAGTGAGTATATGGCTCATAATTCAAAGGCACAAAAGGCCAAGCAAGTATACAGTGACTTCTCCCCTCCCAGTTTTATCTCTACTGTCCTAGTTCTCTTCTCTGAGGATAATCAATGTTCCTGGTCCCATAGGTATTCCATGAATATACAGTCAAATGCACCTGATATATATGTATATACTCTCCACTTTTAAAAACACACACATAACATGCTCTAATCGCTATCCTATATCTTGTTATTTTTTTCTCAATGTATCTCAGAGATAATTCTCTATTAGCTATGTACATCAGAGTAAAAAGAGCTTCTTTTCTTGCTATAATAACTATGTAACATGTTTATAATTTATGAGTAATTATGGGCCTTTAGGTTGTTTCCAATCTTTTGGTAAGATAACTATACACTATAGTGAAATACAGTGCATGTTTAATATCCAAAGAGGTGTGAATATACATACATATTAGATAATTCCTATGGAATGGCCAAGGAGAAAGACATTTACTTTACAGTTTGAATGATGGTGAAAAAACTGACCTTTACAGAGTATAATAGAATATATTTTCTATGTATCAACAATTAAGACTGCTGAATTCTGTAATTTCCAGTTGTAATTTTTAAGTTGGCCTCTATACTCTCTGTTACAGAAAAATTATTTTGTTTTGCTTATACAGAACTTAAGATATCCTGAATCAAAGATATTCAGGTGGAAATCCTACCAGGTTTTGAAACAGTCCATTTTCCAGTCTTAAATATACAGCTAATGTGATCCAGAAACTTGAAAAAGCAAGTATTTTGTTTCAAAGCTGAATCACCAACATCATCAATAACTGTGAATACTTCATAACAGAGAATAGATTTTAAAAGATAAATGCACCCACAGTTCATTGTTAAAAGCTAAATCTCTCTGACATGTGTTTCAAGCTCACTTATTCCTGCATGACCACGACCTCATATATCCAAAAACTGCACCTGGGTGTCAGCTTCCATCTACGGGGCAACCATGTAGTGCTCTACATGCACAGTCAGCCAAGGAAACAAAATTAGGGCTCACTTTCAGGAAGCCCCAGTGCTACCACTTGCTTTATCAAACACACACTTCAAAGGAATTGAAAACAGAACAGATTTTAAAAGGAGACATTCAAATGTATACAGATGGCAGAAACACGATTCTGAGATGGCCACAAAAACCTGTTAGCATGCTGGCTCCTGTCGTTTAAAAAGTTGTGTGCAGCACAGGTCTGCATGTGTGCTGTTTTTAAAAGTTGTAAACATACATTTCATTACATTTTGAAGGTAGTGTATGAGCCAGCTCCTCTCAACATTTTAGCTAAACAACATACCAGCACTAAGATATTTATCTGACAATGGTCCTTTTTCTAGTATAACTGACCAAGTTGGAATTAATTTGCTTACACAGACATAATATGGATACTAGTCAACAAAGCAGAATGTATTTTCATGGCATAAATCATAATGGATGGCACAAATAAAACCGAGCTAGACAAAACTCAGCTGATTCACAAATGTCATTTCCAGGACTTACAGTTTCTGTGTCTGGGATCTTATGGGGTTGAAGTCCAAATTCTAAGTTCTTAACCTTCACTCCAAAAACTTCTTTACTAAAAATTTCATAAATACCTAAAATGAAATACAAATATATTTACATTGCTCATGATGTTAGCAAACAAATAAGGATAAGACTTAAAAGTAACTCTTACATTTTCCATTAAAAACTGCTATTCGGGGTTGATATTTCTGTAACTTCTGCACTAGAATACGTCCTCCTTCACGAAATTCTTTACTAAAATTGAATGAAAAATTGGTCAAAACACAAATATGGTAGGATTTGTAATATGCTAAATTCTGACAGTTTTCAATTGAACTGGATACATGTGATCTTCCCAGAATAAAGGCACCAGCTCAGTCAACCGAGCTCTAAGCCTCCAACCTCTGAAACCCACTGTAATTACCTGGAAAGATCCTTGCTGCCTGGTGTTGTCCTTTCCACCATATTGGTGAATCCAATACCATACTTTCCTGGTAAAGTGTGATCGTCCATGTGATTGAGCTGGACCTCACTCAAGCCTGACATAAACAGACACTTCCCTGTGAAAAAGACAATCCACTTTACTTCTGTAGACACTCAAAGGCTCTGTCCATGGACTGATAAGGTAGACTGTAGCCCATTCTTGGGGGGAGGGCGGGGGAGATTTAGCATATTTAAAAAATTATTATGTAGCTCAAATACCTTATCAAACAATTACTAAGTTCTTTACATGCATTATCTCGTTTAATCAACATAACTATCACAGTTATTTCCTTTTTCGCAGGTGAAGTAAATGCCTCTCCAGAATATTCAAGTGAGTGTAGGAAACTTGGAAACTTTGTTTTCCCTCCCAGTAACTGGTGGTAAGGCCACCCTTCCCTGGAATACTTCAAACGGATAAGCATAGCCACTGGACTCAGAACACTCTGACAGTGGAAAAAGAAAAAGACCAAACTTCTCCAGAAGTTCTTTCCTTGTTAAATAATGGAGGGAATATGCTATTAGTTCCAAAAACACATTATTAGCACTTGTTCTAAATGTTTGAAACATTTATCTCAGGTAAAACCAGCTGCATGGACAGTGATAGGTTAATATGACAATACAACAGCAGTTATACTTGGCTTTAAAGCTTACTCTACAAGTCTGAGGATCTTTAACATTATTTTCTGATAAATATGAATTATTTGTGCAAACTGTCTCCAGGCAATTTACAACTTAATTGCCAATGCACTTCGTCTCTCCTTGGAAATATGATAGCAAAAATCTGGAAGGTCAGCTTCTGTTTGCACTGGCACAAGGATGTACTCCTGTTACTACATCTGTAGATAACCAAGGGAAGTCATTTATAAACGCAGTAAAGTCCATTTACAACAATTCCAACAAGGGAGCAAGAAGTCCTTTTCCTGTCTCCCCACTGTCATACACCGAATGTTTACTGTGACCTTTTATTTTTGCAACACACACACACACAGAAAGTGGACATACATATTTACACACGGTATGGTCTCTCTCTTTCAAAACACAATTTGGCTAAAACATCTCACTCTGCCCCAATTATTAACAAAGTTACCTAGTTTAATAAAAAAAGTAGCCACTTACAAAAATGGTTTCCAGGTCCAGGGTAATGATGCCCTTTGTAAGCAGCCATTAGTCCTGGATTTATGCCAATCTACAAAACAAGAAGTGTCTAAATCTTAGTCTTTAAAAGTAGGGTTTAATACTTAGTGCTTCTGTGGAGGAGTGGTGGACACAATTTAATTTACTAAAATACAAACTTAATCCAGCATCATAAGCACTATCATTTATCAACGACCTACTTTTGATCTGAACAAAGTATTCCACTTCAAAGAAAGTGACTTCCTTTATAGTCAAAGTTTCATTGCTGTTTAAAAACAAGTTTGACTTTCTTACAATCAGCCTCTGCTCCCACCCATGGGCCGAAGGAGGTGGTCGTGGAGGCACCTGAGGCCAGCCAAGACCCAGCCACAAGTTGGATTCTCAACTCCTGACAAGCAGCTTACTCCACCTCATCTACACAGCTGTTTGCATGATGTTTCTTAGTAAGTTATTGGCAAAAACTCACATTTAAAATCAGTGCTATAATTTATGGAAAGCTCACAGGTGTCCTGCAACCTACGTGCTTCAAGGATTATTTCATTTAATTACAACCTTCCAAGGGAGGCACTGTTATCACTGGTCTCCCCCGTGAGGGAACTGGTGTTTAGGGAGGTTAGGGCTTGTCCAGCATCACCCTGCAAGGCAGGATTCGATACCAGACAACCCTACTATGGAGCCTACCCTCTCAGACAATGATGCGCAATAACACAACCTCATGACGGTGACACCCGCTACTACCTAAAGGATTCTCAGGAATGGTTTTTAAGCAAAAAGCTAATTTGCAAGGCTAACAGTTAAGCAAACCCACCAACACTATTTATAAAGCCAAACAAAGACAAAATTGCTTACAATCACAATGTCCAGGTTGAATGTCAAAATGTCAGGAAGAGTCTTGGTCAAAAGTTCAGCTTCTGAAACACCATTAAAACGGTCTACTTTTCTTTTCACTTTAAATGTGTCTGTAATTTTTTCTTGCTTTTCTTTTGACTTTTTAGACTTGCCAGATTTTTTGGCCTCGGCAGGTTTTTTGGGTTCCACTGGGCTTTTGGGTTCCACTGGTTTTTTGGGTTGTGTTGTTCTGAGTTTTCTTTTCCTTCCTTTTGGCGTCTCTGAAATACAATGATTTCCAGAAAACCTTAACTTACAAATATTAGGCAGTTTTCCCAGAAAAGTCACCCTTTTTACCTTTCTCTTCTAATTCCCAGTCTCCTCTGCAAAATCCCCTAACTTTACCCTAGAACGCTCACGTGGCCCCAGGCCCTAGCCTGCTTCCCCTGCTAGCTGTTTTCAGACAGAATGTCCGGAGCAACCAGAGACTGATTTTCCATACACTCTTACCTGGCACCTTGGCCTCCCCAGGACTACAAAATAGTTATGTACCATTTATAGGATTACAAGCACAAATGCATGCTTAAATAATCAAATGAAATAGAAAAATAGGGAGGAAGAAGACTGTTTAACTCAACTTTTCCATAATTTCCAGCAGGAGAAAACTTCACATGGTTTGTGGGCTTCCTCTAGAGATTATGAGAGTACAGACTCCTCCAGACACAGGCAAGAAAGTGAGTTTGGAGGTGCTAAGGGTGAAATCTCTGGGTTGGCATTATTATTCAAGAGGTCAGACGAGAGATCTGACCACAGGACCTGCAGGAGTTTCATGCTGTCAGCACCACTCACGTTAGGCTGAGTAATTTCGGTTGTGGGGGCTGTCTTGAATATTACAGGATGTTAAACTGAACCTTAGTCACTACACAGCAGATGCCAAGAGCACCCTGCCAGTCATGATAGTCAGAAGTGACTCCACTGACACCAAATGTTTTATGGGGGGTAAAATCATCCCTGGAAGAGCCACTGACCAAAAGTTACTCAACAGGGAGCCTTGCTTACTTACCCTGCCTATGCCTGTTTTGGCTTGTAGCTGGGGTAGTCCTGAAAAAATAGCAGAGTCAAGGGCTAAGAGCTGCCTCCAAAGCAGTGGTGCCAGATGCCTTCTGGAAATCTGAACACATTTCTTACATGACTTCTTTCCACCCCCCACCCAAAGTCTACTCTCTTCTAATTCTCTACTTGATGAATGTTCTCCTCTTTCCAACTGCCTATGCTGGAAAACAGAAGTAACTTTCAGACTCCCTGTCTCTTTGCCCCCCGTGTGAATCCATGAACCATAGTATTTCCTAATTCTGTCCTTCTCCACCCCTTTAATTCTCCCTCATTGGGCCATCCAATCTACCGCAACATTTTACTGATGAGTAGTTTTTTTTTTAATATTTACTTATGCACACAAGAATGGGGGTAAAGGCCAGAGGTGTGGTGGGGAGGGGGGGACGTAAGAGGATTCATCAGAGACACAGTGGGGAGCAGAACAGGCAGACTGACTGAAACACACCACTGAGGGGAGCAGCAGGTGAGACAGACGAGGTCAGCTGTGCCATGTGGGTCCCTTCCCTGGCTGGGGATCAAACTCGTGCTGTAGTGGCTGAGGATAGCTTCCTAGTGCTGCACCACCAGGGAGGGCCCTGACCAGAATTTAAATGCCAGTCTACCTGTGTCACCTCCTACTTACATTTTCTCAACAGCTGCCTGTTGCTGTCAGGACAGAATACACATTCTTTAGGTTAAGTAACAAGCTTCAGGTGCCCCCAGTCAGCCTGACCTCTCACCCAGATTCCAATGTCACAAAATCACTCAGTTTTGACTGTGACACACGCTTCATATCTCTGCTTTGGTACGCTGGCCCCTGGGCTGGACTCTTCCCTATGCGCTTCTTTACGAGGTGTAGGCTCCTCACCCTTGAGATTCAGACTCTCAGGGGTCCTCTGCACCTCAGCCCTCACAGTGCCCTGCACCCTTCCACAACACTGAGTGCGTGGAGGCATGATGTGTGTTGACTTGTATTTTCCCCCAGGAGGTTATGAGCTGTTCAAGGGCAGGATTCAGATTCTTTTCTTCCCCCACCCCTATCGCAATGCCTGGCACACACTGAGTACTTAAAAGATGGATTAAATTCTCTGCATTAAAATAGAGCTGGAAACCTTTCTTTACTAAATTGGCTCGACAACAGCCAGTGTCCAAATCGGCGCTGGTGAAGACTACCTTGTTCCGGTTCCTGAGCAGGGGCTGGGCCGTCTGCTGGCAGGTGCTGCTCGTCCACAGCCGCCACGGGAGGAGCCTCGGCCATCATTTGTGGGAAGGGAAACGCATACAGAGCCTGGGCTTGCTGAAGGGGCTGGCTGGAAGGCGGAAGACACATGGACACAATTACCCACATGTAAGTTGAAGCGATCAGTTACAAGAAACCTTCAGAAGCCAAATCTGTGTCACATACTGTAATGTTTATTTACAGTAAGATTACAGGGGCGAAGCGAGGAGGAGTCACTCCACGATGCACATACTCAGTCGAGCTTCCTGGGTGCTGACCAGCCGAACGTGAACTGTCAGCTGTGAGGACAGGATGCGTCATCAATAAAACTTACCAGTCCTGTCAAGTCAGTCTGTACTTTCTCTGAAATGAGATCATAGGAACCTTCTAGCAGCAAGACCTGAAAGACCCACAGGCCCAAATGGGGCTATCTGTCCCTCTACCTTCATTTAATTCTCTTGTCACAAAGGTCCCCTCAATCTCAGTTTCTCCCAGCTCTGGCTCTACTCAGAAACCGACACACACCTTGTGAAGGCCTAAGGGGTACGCTGGGATAGGACACATGTGTGCTGCAAAACAAACACCATTGCAGTTGGCGCGCACCCTGTGACGTCACAGCTACCCTTCCCTTCCTGTGGTGAGAGTATTTAAGATTCAACTTTGCAGCGCATGATCCAGTGTTACCAGTCACCATGGTATGCATGGCTCCCTAGAACCACTTATCTGTGACTGACTGGAAGTTTATTCCCTTCGGCCAGCATCTCATCATTCCTAATCCCACCCAACCTAACTTACCCTTTTGGTCTATCTTTTCAACTGTCATTAGGTCTTGGGTTTTAATCTGCCACTAAGTGAGGACTACAAATGGATATTTTGTAAATGTCTGAATTTATGGGGGGGGGAACCCCACATAAACCACTTTTCTAAGTATGGCTTAAACTTTGTTCAAAATATTCTGTTCAATGCAAGCTACACAGGCTTTCACAGAAAACAATTTTCAAATTATTTCTGAGGACCATCTTAAGCTGCTGAATCAGCACAAAGCTGGGGAAATAACACATATTTTATGAAACTCAAGTAACAGCTAATGCCAAATGATGCCATTAAATACATAGCAGGAAGAAAAGGAACACCTACCACTTAGCATGTGGAGAGCAAAGTCATGTTTTCTGTGGCAAGACACTGCTTATTATTGTTAGTTTTCTTTCTCCATGTGGCATGGCACGGCATGGTGGAAGAAGCAGGGAGCTCAGAAGGCAGAGATTAAAGGGCAAAGAAGTACTTTAAGTGGATGAACCTTACAGTAAATAAGGCCTTGGGAAGCCATTAGGCGCCACGAAAGCAGAATCCTTATAAATGGAATCAATGACTTTTCATTAAGCAAATCATATCTTAATGCCTTTTTTTTTTTTAAAAAGAAAAGTTTAGCTTAACTGGGGGCGGGGTTTGGGGGGGGGCAGGTTAGATGCTGGCATCTCAGGGATAAGCAGGGCTCCAATCCTTTGTTCATCCAAAGGCTAAACCACCAGAGAGGTATCTGAATGTCCAGCTATCTGGACAAGGGTAAGTTGTAAAGGAAAGGTTAAGGATTAGTGAGACTGACATTAAGCTATATCTTAAGAGCTATTTCTTTGAATATACTGTTCTCAAATGACTTAAAAGAAGACATTAACAATGGTTTCCTCAACTAGTTCATTAACACGAAGGCTGTACTGTTACTAAAAAACAGACTGATACTATCTAAAAGTACAGGCAGTGCTTAATATAAATATTTTAAAGCAGAAAAGAATACAAAAAGTAAAAGATAACTAGGAGTTAAAATGTATAAAAGAAGAGATATGTTTCTTCTTTTAAAAAGAAGAAATATGTTTAAATAGCACTTGGCACAAAGTTGAGTGTTTTTTCTCCCTGCGCCCACATCTTTCTAACACTTGTAGGTCTTTTCAATGTATGGTCAAAATACTTGCTGTTCAGTGTTTATGATTTAAAAATTCTGACAAGGACTTGGCTATGGTAGGTTACATCAAGATGTGTGCAGCTAGAATAACAGGCTGTATCTTTTGTGACCAGGGCAGTTTTCTGAAATGTGAAGGGCCCTGTTAACTAGAATGTGTAAAAGTAAAAACATGTGGTCCCAGGGAGTGAGCAGCCAGAGAAAGCACGAGGTCTGTTCTTGGGCCTACCACCCTCCCCCAGAGTGCCGCCTCGGGTTTCCCAGATGGGCCTCATTTTGAGCACTTCACAGAACCCAGACTCGAAACACACCAGAGTGAGCTGCCATTCGCAGTCCAAAAGGATTCTGACCTTCAAAGTAAGTATTTCCAAAATGGAGCTCCCTGAGCACAGCCAGGGGGTCATTAAGAATCTCTGGAAATTTTGGAGCTCAGAAACTGAAAGTTAAAAATTAGAAGTCAATTAGTTGAGGAAAATATGAAAAAGAAAAAAAGATGGGCCCTCCCTGGTGGCACAACGGCTTAGGACGCAGCACTGCAAGCTGGCCATGGCTGTTTCAGTGCAGAGGTGACCCACATGGCGCGGCAGACCTCTCCTGACCCGCCCGCTGCTCCCCTCAGCAGTGTACTTTGTTGATCTGCCTGTTCTGCTCCCCACTCTGTCTCTGGTGAAGCCTCTCACTGCCCCTGCCCCTCTGGCCTGTACCCCAATTCTGTATGCATAAATAAATAAATCTTTAAAGAAAATAAGCTGAGGATTTTAGGAATGTGGTAGAAGTCTGAAAGAAATCCAGAAAATTATCTTGACCATGAATGCGTCCCTTAATCTTTCTAAGAAATGATCGGGTACTTTACAGTAAGCTACATTAGAATGGAATAGAAAAACAAAGGCATAGCCAGTAGAATGGCTAAGTTCTAAGGTAATAATTAACTACCTTTGAGTGCAAAAGTTAACCTGATCTCTTAACAGGCTTCCTTGTAGCCAGATCTGCTTAATGGTTGGCAGGAGGAAGCATTACCTCCATACAACATCCTTCAGGAATTGAGTGCTACGAAGTTTCTGTATAATTTTTGGTTACCTAGTAATAAAATTTAGTAGTATCAACCATAGGTGAAAGCATTCCTCATGTGTGCTTGCTATATTTATAGGTAACTGCTGCTTGGTCACTTGCAACAACTTGGAGCACAAACACTTTCTGTGCGCAAGAGGAAGCAGTGGTGTGGGCACCAGGCATCCTCTCAGGATCTGCTGCTCCCTCAACCTCAAAATGGGGGAGGGGGTCAGTGAATGTAGAGGTGTGGAAGTGTGCAGGAAATGGGATCGCAATTTGTCCAGACTCAGAACAGACCCTGAAGGGTTATTTTCTCCGACGCCCTAATATCAAACTTGCAGGCATGATGCTTTCATCTCCCCGTTTACTGTTGCCCACTCTGGTTTCTTTGTCCCACACCTGTTCTGAGCTACCTCTCTCCTGAAGTTTACCCTTCTTGTTTCCTAATCTCCACTTGCACCCCATGTTCTTGAACCATAGGGGCTCACGGGAATGGTTTTTACAGCTGCCTATAACTGATAAACTGTGTTTTCCAACAGATTTTCTCAAAACAGACATGCCTAAGCCATACACATGACAGGAGTCCAGTTGATTCAGATTTTGCTGTTTTACAAAAAACTTAATCTTTAAGTTTCCTCTGAAATAAACAACTCCAAATTTTTAGTCCTATTTTCCACTATTTTAAAGATTTAAGTAGCTCTCAAAAATACCTTTGTCTTAATTGTTACTGCAACAAAATGTCATAGACTGGTAGTTTATAAATGAGACTTTATTTTCTGTTTTGGAGACTGGAAAGTCCCAGCTGAAGGTACTCGCAGACTCAGTCTCTGGTGAAGGTTGCTTCCTGGCTGATTAGGGCCAACTTCTTGTGTCTTTATATGGGGTACAAGACCTCTTCAGTAAGGGTTCTCACCCCATTCTAAGGGCTCTATCCTCAGGTCCTCCAATCACCAACAAAGTAAGATTTAAGTCCCAATACCTGAATTTTGGAGGGACACAAACATTTGGTCTACAAGCAACATTGTAATATCTTTAGTTAAATAAGGAAATACAACACTGAACACGTACAAATAACGGTCACTGTGAAAAAGCTAAACGCTCAAGTAAAGGGAACCACAGTAACTGTTTAAAGCTCACATCTCTACTTCTCGTGGGAGCATGTGTATCTAACGGTCACTGTACACACTCCTCCAGACATGAAAAGCAAAAAGATTCAGAGTTAGAAAGGGCCCAGTTCATTAACTGTTCTTCATATAGTATGATTTCAAGTTTCCTCATTATTTGGTCTTTTTTGGGTACTCAGCATCAAACTAAGTAAAAATATTCCAGATGCAGACTCGTCACCCTAACGCTGAGCAAAGCGATCAACTTCCTCATTCTTAGAAAAACCTGTTAAAGATACCTCACTGAGGGCTCACACTGACTTTACATTAAGGAAAACTGCCTCTTACCAACTCTCAAGCCACATATATATCTTAATTTGTCTGCACCTATGCCCATGATGGTACCTATTTGTATGGATCTCTCTTCAGCCGCTCTTGACTCTAGTAAACCAGTTCTGATTTCACTGAGGGAACCACTCTCAGCCCAGCTTCACCAAGAGAAGTGGAATGTCACAGCTAGGCTAGGATCAAATTTCAGCTCTGCCATTTCCTAGTTTTCTGGGCAGGTTACTTAACCTCTTTTTGTCCCAACTTCCACATCTGTAAAATGGGGCTGTAGCACCTAATCATTGCTTTTGAGAATCAAGAGAGTTCACACTCGCACCCAGTAAATCTGCAATAACAATAAGGGCAGAAGAAGGCCTATTTTAGGCCCCTCCTGTCACCATCCTTCCAATGCTGTCTCATCTAGTGCTGTTATTCAAATGGGACTGAACATTCTACCATGGCTTAGTGGTCACTAGTTTCTTTCAAAAATGCTCCACCACTGAGAAGTAAAATTGTGTTGAGGATCGACATCAATAAGTTCAAAGGCAGAGTCCATCTTTCCAACAGGGAACCACGAATCTATTTTCAAGCATCAAGCCCCTCTCTTATTATCTACAAGTTCTGCAGTTATCAGACCTCTCACTTAAAATACAACTCATTCACAGTAAGAAATATAATTCCTGTTAAAGCAGCTACTAAGCGTTGTGTTAGACGCTCTCACTGATCTTAAGTTTCAACGCTTTCAGGCAATCATTCTAGCACTTCCAATCTGTTCATTACTTTCAAAACTGGGGATGAAAAATCAAAATCACAAGGAAGTGTTTATACTGTCAGTTATAGCAGTGCTGCTATGCCGCTGATGAGTCCGAAAACCCAAACTTCTCTTGTCCAAAAGTCCTTAGAGCAGGTCTCTAACCTCTGGAAGGCCTGATTTCATTTGGAGGGAAACCTTTTCCGTCTGTATTCTAAGGGGTCTTTGTCCCTCTTCTACAGTAAAGTACATGCTCTTTTCACACCTGAGCACATTAAAAACAAGCTGGTCCACTTCCTTTCTTCCTCTGAGTCATGGACTGTATGTGCTTGTTTTAACTCCTTAAAAATTTTTGTTCTTAAAAATTAAAAGTCTCTGGGCCCTCCCTGGTGGCGCAGCAGGTTAAAGCACTGCACTAAGAAACTAAAGCCACTTCAGCATGAGTTCGATCCCCGCCTGCCCCCGAGGTGACCACATGGCACCGCAGACCTCTCCTGACCCGCCCACCTCTCCTGACCCGCCCACTGCTCCCTTCAGCAGTGTACTTTGTAGATCTGCCTGTTCTGCTCCCCACTCTGTCTCTGGTGAAGCCTCTCGCTGCCCCTGAGCCTCTGGCCTGTACACCAGTTCTGTATGAACAAATAAATAAATCTTAAAAAAAAAAAATTAAAAGTCTCTATTCAAGGAATTATTTTTCTCTGAATTTTTAAAAGTCAAATCACCAAAATAAAAAGGAAACTCATACAAAATAAAAAGTAAATGACACCCAACGCTCCCTTTTCATTCCTTGACTAGCACAAAGCCAAAGGTGACAGAGCACTTTCTCGGGTCATCTGAGATCGGCGATCTCACAACCTCCAGCAGTAAACTCTGAGTAGTAATACAGAATTCTGATCTTCAACGCAGTGAGAACAGTATTGAGCTAAACACAGTATGGGAGACCTATCTACTCTTAAGAAACGGAGTAAGATCTTACAACGTGTCATTTGTTTTTACCCAGTTTTCAATTTTGCTCTTCGCTTAGATCAAAGATGAGGAGATGCCACACTGCTGGTTAATACTTTTATTTGTAAAGTTCTTCTGGGAAAGAAGAACTTTCAGTATTTGAGCCATAAAGTCTGGAGAAAGTCTATCTCATAATCTCTTTTCCTAAACTCTTACTTTCACCACTTAGGTATGCCTCTTCCAAAACACACACGTCAGAAGAGTAGTGAGAACTGGATTCCTGAGATGCCCTCCTGGACGGACCTAACAAGCCCAGAAAATTAACTGTGTAGCCTAACATGGGTCCTGGCCCATCAGCCATCGAGTAAGGGCAATTCTTCGCTAGGTTTAACAGTATTTTATTCCACGGTGTAAGTCATGGTTTCGTTTCATTTTAAAGATCCTGTTAGAATAGTAATACAGAATTCTGATCATCTGGCTGAGTGACAGCAGAATATAAGGGATTTTCTCATTTAGTTTCCTGCCAGAAGTTCAAATCTCGAAATCTCTACTTTTGCAAAAAATTCTATCTACGTATCTAACACTCAGATTCCAAGTGGATTCCTACGAACATCCCAGGATCACTAGAAGACACGTTTCGATGACTCCGTGAATCATCCACCCGTGGCCCCGGACGTTGCTTCTAGCAAACCTTTGGGTTCGAGAAAGCCAGTTGCTGACTTTAAAACTGGAGAGTACGTTCTCTTTTGACGGCCTTTTGCTAGGCGATGAGGGGGGTGCAACGGATGTACCAACAACAGCCAGCGGGGACCTGCTAGCTTACAGGGACATTTTAAAATTAAGTGACGTCGGCAGGCCCGGGCGGCCGCGCAGGTGCGTGGCGGCCTCTGGGGACCGCCGGGGCGAGAAGCGACCCGAGCGGGCCGGCAGTGCGCACGCGCGGCCCCAGCCTTTGTATTCGGGCGGCGGCTTTTAAAGACCCCTGCGTGCGTGCGCGCGCCCGCCTGCCCCATCGGCCGCGAGGGGCGGGGGAGGGGCGCGCTCCGCGGCCTCACCTGTCCGCGTTCTCGGCTTCCATACCCCGCGGCCGGCCGCTCCTGCCGGGCGAGCGAGCGGGCGACGGTCGCTAGTACGGCGGCGTGTGTACGTGCGGCGGCACGCCAAGAAGCAGAGACTTGGCCCCCGGTGGCAGCAGTACAGGGACAGCGGCTGGCCTTCAAGCTCCTCCCCCAGCTCTCGGTTCCCCCTCCCTCCACCAATCCCCCCTCTCTGCCCGGCGCTTCCGTCCGCTCAGAGCCAAACCCCACGCCGGGCGCTCGTCACGTGACGCAGCCAACCCAGTAGCCTTCGCTCGCCTCTCGTCCGTTCCCTGCCCGCCGCTGGGCCTTTCGGGAAGGGTGGAGGACTGGAAGGGCGGGAGGGCGAGCGCTCTGCTGTCGTAAGCTTTTGTCCGCCGGGACTGGTTCGGTGGTGGGCGGATGGGTGGTGAGAGGGTGATGTCTTATGGAGGGTGCTGTGTGGGTGAGCCGGTTATGCTTAGTGCTGTCTTCCCCGTCCCCCAGTTTTATTGTCTCAAAAGTATTTTTTGACATGAATTAGCAGGTAATTAGTGTGTTGTAGGGGAAAGAGACCTTGGAATTAGAAAACGTGGATGTACCATCTTCGGCGTCAGTTTCCTAATCCGTAAAATAAGAGATTGTAAAATTCATTTGCAAAAGCTGTTTATATAAAAGCTTTTTATTAGCCAGTTTCTGCTTTAAGTTGGATCTGTAGAAATGTTACATCTGAGATCCTTTCAGGCACCATCTCCTTAAAGCAGAGCTGAGTAGCCTGCTCAGTGGCTCTTAGCTCTGTTTCATTAGTTCTCAAGTTGGCATTGGCTTTGATAAGTAACTTAACGCCGATGGGCTTTCTGTGTATGTTTCCCTAGTTTTGTTTGATAAAAAGCATGGCTGTTGTTAGCATTTCCTAGTTCATGCAGTGCTAACAAATGAGGTCAAAATCTCAACGTCTACAGCAACAAAGGTTTATTTCTGTACCGTGTAACGTGGACTGGGAGATGCAGTGTCTGTCCTTCAGGAGTCTTCATTTGGGATTCAGGAATGGGCTTTCATGAGTAAATACAGAAAGACTGCTTAGATAAAACAATATTTATAAGCCTTTCAAAGTTTTTATGAATACTGTGTTCATAAGTAGGTACTACTCAGAACCTGTCTGGTGTTTTTGTTCAGTGATCTCTCTCATTCATTTGTGGCTGAATCTTAAAATCCACATTTCAGGTATCTTTTAACGCAGAAGGCCTCAGCTGAATACACTGTTCGAGGTGTTTTGCATGTATTAATTCGTTTCATTCTCAGGGTAATTCAAGCCCAGTGTTTCGGTTCACCTCTGAAAGTGGTCACTTGAGAAGTCCCTCTTGCTCATAGGAGACTGGCCTTTTTTTTTTTAGACATTAACAAGATGTTTCTAAATTCATACCAAAATACAAATAACCAAGCATAAAAGCCAAAACTAATCTTAAAAGAAAGAACAAAGTTGGAGGGCTAGGTGGCGGCACTGCCTTCACCTGAGCAACCTCTCCTCTAGTACATAGACCAAATGGTCACTCAAGCATGGGAGACTAGGCCTTTAATAGCTGTAGAGTTGTGTTGAGGCTTTTACATTTGCAGGTCATTATGCATTTCTAAAAAATATCTAGACCAAATAATCACAAACTGCAAAGATTTCAACTCCTAGACTTCCATTTTACCATCAAGAAGGATTGAACAGAGTGAGGAGAGAACTAGCCTTATTTGGGGCATAACACTTGCTGGCAAAGTCAAGATCAAGCTCATAAAAGAATGATGATTTTCAATCACCCAAATAAAGATTGATCGATCTTCTTACTTAGCAATCAAAATAAACCACCAGCAAACATTGATTGATGCTCCAGGACCACTCTGAAGGAGTGGGGAGAAGACAACTGAAACCTAGAGAACAAGTTTTGCAAATTAATCTAAGCCATGACCTTCATAATTTTCAAATATGTACTGACCACAGCTATTCAATTATATGGTAAAAGAAAAACTGGAGGGTAACACTGCCTGATTGATTTAAGAATATAAAGCCACTGTAGTCAAGAGAATGTGGCATAGGTGTCATGAAAGACAAATACCACTGGAACAATACAGAATCCAGAAATACACACACACACAGATTGTTGTACAGTTGATTTTCAACCTGGAAAGGCAGTTCAAAGGAGAATAATAAGTCTTTCCAATGTATGCTGCTAGGATATCCCTACGCCAAAAAACTGTACCTCATAACTACAAAAAAAAAAAAATTAGCACAAAATGGATCATAGAATTAACTGTAAAACCTTAATCTATAAAACTTCGGAAAAGAGAATACAGAACATCTGTAGATTTGGGTTAGATTAACTAATATTAAAGAATGATTCATAAAAGAGAAAGTTGAAAATTGGACTTCATTAAAATGAAACACTTCCTCTTCAAAAGATTATCAAGACAAACTTCAGAACTGGTAGAAAATATCTGTATATCAAATCGGATATGATAAAGAACTGCACCCATAGTATATACTTAAAACTCATAATACAAGAAGCAACACACAATTAAAAAATGGGTGAAAGATTTAAACAGGTAACTTACCAAAGAAATTATGAATTACCAACATCATTAATTAAGAGAGACCATCGCCCACCTATTAGGATAGATAATTTTAAAAAAGACTAACTTGACCTAAGTATTGGAGAGGATATGGAGGAGTTGGAACCATCAGACACTGCTTGTAGGGATGTAAAACCATACAACTACTTTGGAAATCAGCTCGGCTGTTTTTCTTTTTTTTTTTAAGATTGTATTTATTTATTTTGCAAAGCGGGGTATAGACCGGCAGTGCAAGGGGGTGAGAGCATTCACCAGAGACCAGAGTGTGGAGCAGAATAGGAAAACTGACTGAAATACACTGTCAAGGAGAGCAACTGGTGAGACAGGAGAGGTCAGCTGTGCTGGGGTTTGAACTCAGGCCATAGAGGTGATAGCACTGCGACTTCACCCGGAGGCCACCAGGGAGACCCAACAGCTCAGCACTTTTTAAATATTTATTTAAACAGTTAAATATACACATATTATCTACCATATACTGCAATCATTCTGTTCCTAGGAACATACCAGATAGAAATGTGTGTATTCACACTGGATCAGGTATTCTTTTTTTGTTGTTCTTTACTAATTACAACAGCTTTATTTCTATTACTCAATAACTGGAAACAACCAAAATATCCATCAAAGGTGAATGGATAAACCAACTGTGGTATAAACAATGCCAATTACAAAGAGTGAACCACAGATAACACAACAATGCGGATGAATCTCAAATAGTTGAGCTGAACTAAATAAGCTGGGCCAAAGACAGTACATAATGTAGTCTATGTACATTTTAGAAAATGCAAACTAGTCTTCAGGGACAGAAACAGTTCAGTGTTATCCAGGGAAGGAGTAAGAAAGGACACAAAAACTTTTCTGGATAGTTTATTATCTTAGTTGTAGGATAGTTTCAGAAGTGTACACATACTAAACTTCATAAAATGTACACTTTGTATAGTTTGTATGTAAAATATACCACAATGAAACTGAACCCTGATTCATATTATACATACAACCCTAGTCCTTCGATGTTAATCTTTTGCTTACCAAAAATCAATCCCTAAGTAAAGCACAATCTAAAAATGCATAGATTAATGTCGATTTCAGGTTTCTTTACCTGTAGCATCATAGTACAAGGGCACAGAAGTCTAGAGGTGGCTGTTTCAGGTGTCATAGGTCACGGGGGACAAGGATAATCTTCATTTTTCTAAGAATACTTTGAGTGATGACCTCACCTAAGCAGGCATAACCCAGCCGATCGCCACTCGCCCCTAAATGACGCAGAACACAAACCGGGCAATACTCCAGTGGGAAAAAAACCTAACTACAGGAAGTGTGAGGCTGGGTCTGCAGCCCGGCGCTGGCAAAGGGCGGGGGACCGGTTTAAAAAGACAAAAAAGCCGGGCAACCTCCGAGGGCGCCACTTCCGCCCGCGTCACGTGCCCGCGCTAGTGCGCGTAGTGCCCTGGCTTTCCCCTCCGGCGTGGCCCTGCTGCCGGACACTTTCGGTTCCGGCCGCCTGCTCGCTCTGGGGCGCACTTCCGTCAGTCCCTGGACCGGCCGGCTAGCGCCGCTGCTCTTTGCGATACTGTCTTCCCCGGCATCTCTAGAGGGCCTCCCGGAAGCCGCCGGTGTTGGCCTCCCCTGCGAAAACTGCGTGTAAATTCTGAAGGTCCTGCCCCTCCCCCCATTCAAAACCCGTGGAGGTCGGTGTTACCCCCGGAAGGGACGTTCGCCCTTCAAGAACTCTCCTTTCATAGATGGGGCGCCGGGCCGGGAGGGAGCCTAGGTGTTCCACTGCCGCCCCGCAGGTGGGTGGCTAATTGCTGGCCCGAGTCCGCCGTGCGCCGGGAACCGGCTAACTGTCCGCTCTCCTTCCCGTCCAGCGCGCCGACCATGCCCGCGGGCGTGCCCTGGCCCACCTACTTGAAAATGTTCGCCGCCAGCCTCCTGGCCATGTGCGCCGGGGCCCAAGTGGTGCACAGGTACTACCAGCCCGACCTGGTGAGTGAGTGCAGGGGGTCAGTTCATTCTCCCAACAGCAAAATGACCCGGAAACAAAATTAAGGGCACACTGCCATGGACCTAAAACCTGACGATGGCAGCTGTCCATCAAAGCAGTGTTTGTCCTGCGGGGACTTAACCACCAGACACCTGCCACTGGACTCCGCTCACTGTTACCCACTGCTTCCCTCTGTTGCAGCCCCACCCGCTTCCTTGTTTCTCCTACTCTTGGAATGCGCGTCTCCCACCTCTTGGCATAATTTCCTTTTAAAAACTTCAAGTCTGTTCAAGGATCTCTAGCAATGAGGGTTCCTTAGACGACTCCTCTATCTTCAGCCTGAGCCCTTTGTTTCCACAGAGCAGGGGCCACAATTTGTAGTTTGTTTTCTTGTTCTGTGTTTCCACAACTAGAAAGAATGTCAGCTTCAGGAAGGGACTATATCCGACTAGTTTGCCTTTGTATATCATTCAAATAGAAAGAGCTTAGAATATAGTAAGTGCAGAATAAATACGTGTTGACTGAAGAATGAATGAAATAGGCATTCAGAGGAGGGGGAAATTTAATTTTATAAGCATTTATTGAGTTAGCTCTTTTGGAAAACATTCTGGAAGTTGCTCAGACAGTTACACAGAGAGAGTAACCAGGAGGCCCAGCCATTCCAACCTCTAGGCTTATACCCAAGAGAAAAGACACATCCACACAAAAACTCCTATACGAATACTCAGGGAATATTAATATAAAAACCAACAAGTAGTAACAATCTGGAGGTCCGTCACCTGACAGGTGGGTAAAGGTGTGGTATAATTGTATGATGGACACTTTTTCAGTCCTAAAAAGGGAGTGAAGGACTAATAGGTGACAAGATAGATGATCCTGGAAAGTGGGTCTAGTGAAAGTGAAAGGAGCTAGTCACAAAAGATCCCATGTTATATGATCCCGCATCTAGGAAATGCCAGGACAGGTGCATCTGGAAAAGGTACACTATAGGCCTGGAGCAGTGGCCAGCTGCCAGTGCGACTCCACGTGGTAGGGTGGCCGCTAGTGGGTTTTCTTTTTGGGAACAATGGAGAGTTGTAAAACTTAGTATAGAAATGGACCCCCCCACACACACACACACACACACTTTGACTGCTGGAAACCACACTAGAGGGCAGACTGAATGGGTGAATGGTGTGATGTAGGAAGTATTACAAAGTCCATTACCAAAAACAAAGTCACCCTGTCTGGTTTTTCCTGAGCATCTTTCTTGAAGGCAGATTTGTATTTTGCTGTTGTTTTGTGCTTTATATAGTGCATAATATGCACTTAACAGTTTTTGAATAAAAAAATTGATTACTAAATCCTGTTGTCTGTGCAAAGCACTTGGTGGAGTGCAGCAAGGAATTCTCAGATATGGAAAGCTTTATTCAAAGCTTCGATACTGATGCAAATTCTCCATCTGTGAGTCCTGTAGTACTTAAGACATAATCTGGATGATAGTTATGTAACTCTGTGGCTAAAAAGGGGTACAGATCCATAGTAGGTTTTCAGAATAAAGAATTACCATTGAGTAGCAGGGCACTTTTTTGTTCTTTGTTAGTCTTTACTACTTTTATTTTTATAATTTTTTAAATATTTATTTATGCATATAGAGCTGGAGTACAGGCCAGAGGTGCAGGGGAAGTGAGAGGATTCAGAACAGGCAGATATATGAAGTACAATGCTGAGGGCAGCAGCGGGTGAGCCGGAGAGTTCTGCCGTGCCATGTGGGTCACCTACCTGGCTGGAGATGGAACTTGTTTCGTGCTGCAGTGATTGCAGATAGCCTCATAGTGTTGCATTTTACATTGTGCCACCAGGGAGGGCTCTTTTTTTTAAAAAAAGATTTATTTATTTATGCATACAAGAACTGGGGTGTAGGCCAGAGGTGAGGTGGGTGAAAGAATTCACCAAAGACAGTGGGGAGCAGAACAGGCAGACCCACTGGAATACACTGCTGAGGGGAGCAGGGGTGGGACAGGAGAGGACTGTGCCATGCGATCTGCAGAGGCTGGCAACAGTTTGATAGTGCTGAAATGTAGTCCCCTAGTTTTTACTTTCTTTGAAGACTTTTGGGTCACATTTAATTACAGTCTGTGAAAGCACTGACATCTGCTTTCTTTTTATAGACAATACCTGACATTCCACCAAAGCCTGGAGAACTCAAAACGGAGCTTTTGGGGCTGAAAGAAAAACAACATGAACCTCAATTTTCCCGGCAGTAGAAACCTCAAAATACTGCTCTGGCAAGAACTCTGAATAGTATTATAAGTCTTTCATGTCTGTTTTAAAATGCGTTAAAACAACTGAACCAAACACCTAATGGCAAGAGCAGGCGCTCAGCAGGTATTAACAGAGATCTAAGTATGCTTTGACTAGTGTTTCTTGAAAATGGCCAAGGCTTATGCTGTCAGCTTCTTGACTATGGTTTGTAGATACTTAATCTTGACTGCCTTATGAGATAAGAGTATTTGTGATGCTTCATGCCTTTATAATCCTGGCTTTTTTCTCTGAATAAGCTTGAATATAAGGCAAATGGAAGGTATAACTTAATGATAAGTGAGATGACAAGGAAGTCTTATGGTAATGAAGCTAATATTCCTCTAAATATTGAGAAAGTATTTGTACTAAGTTGAATAAAACTGAAATATTTAAAGCTTGACATTCTTTTGGAATTGGGTATATTACAAAATTAGAAGTTGTGACTTGGCCTGTCCCAGCTCTCTGTATACTCCCAAGTGTGAAAAGCCATGTTGGCATTTAGTTTTTCTAACTGAAAAACTGCTGGCAGTTTTAGTTTTTCTAACTGAAAAACTGTGCCCCTGTGCCTTCAGAGGTCTACCTCTGGATCCAGTTCCACACCTGCCACTTAATGTTTGTTTTTTTCTTGATAAAAATTGTTGCCACAGCTGCCAGTTACAAAGATTGCATATCAGAAAATAGTTGGATTTTTTTCTTAATTAAAGCAATTAAAAAATGGTTTCCCAAACATTAACTTAGTTATTCTAATTTAGGTCCCTATCTTCCACAAACAGAATTCCCAAAAGTTTCAGGAAAGATACTTGATTTAGTATAAATCAACAGTAACTTTTAAACTCTGATCTAGTTTCATCAGTTGAATTTGGTAGGTGGGGTTTTATTTCTTGAGGCTAAACTAACGTTTCAAAATTCTAGTTTCCCCTGAACTTTAGTATATGAGTATCAAATTGGTGAGCTTTGACCATGCATTTTGTGCGTGGCCCCTCATCACTGTCCAGAAAGAAGGGCTGGGGGCATGGTTGCCCCTCGGCATGAGGACACACCTGTCCCTGAGGCCAGTTTGTGTAAGGGTGATGCCACCATGCCAAGGGTGAACGGCAGTGGACCATACATTAGAAGCACCCCACACTCCTTTTACTGCTGCAGTGATTAGCTGTGAGGAAAAGTCATGATTTAAACTCAACTCTCACACAAGATAATGACTTCCTGGAGATGCAGCTGGTAAAATTTTACCTAAAGTAAAAATGCCTTCATCATTTCAGTAAGTGCTAGTTCTGAGTGATTCACCAAGTGATTTTTCCCTTTTTGGGAAGTTGACTACTCTTGTGGAAAACACACATTGTGTCAGGCACGGTGATGTGTTGCACAGATTCTCCATAGTCCTCTGTACCTGGGATGAGTGTTCAGGGAACAGCCAGCAAAGTTGTTAGCCCCAGGGGGGAACTACCTAGGGAGAGGCCATGTGCAAGGCACACCTGAAGGGGCCCCTGGCGTAACCAATCTCTGAGGAGAAAGGTGAGTCATTTTAACACCCCTGATGGGGCTCATTTTAGCTCAGGTCCCCAGGGGGTGACCAAGGCTGCCTTTGCACCTGCATTGCAGCTCTGCTCCTCTGTAGCTTGGTCCCATGGCCTTTCCTTCCACAGGTGCTGATCCAAGAGCACCCTAAGGATGCAAAATTCCGTCTTACTAATTTGGGAGAATCAGATGTGTGACATGTGCGAGAAGCACTTAAAAAGAGAAGCACTTAAAAAAAACCCTAGATGATCAGGAAAATGGTCAAGTTCCTTGACAAAACGTAATAGAACATAAAATGGGTCCCACAAAATTTTCAGTTACATGCAAGATCTTTGAAAATGCCATTAGGACATTTAAGACTGATACCTTGGTTGGCAATGACTAGTGAAAACAATTTCTGCCATAGATTAGTATGTCTCAAAGAAATGAAATGCTAGATGTGATTCCTCACTTAATACCTACAGTTGCCTCAGTGAGTTTTCAAGGATGGCCTTTTGAGAATAAATTTAGTGAAATAATGTCAAGTTCCTGTATACCTTTCCCCCAGTCTTCATGACAGTATCATCTTGTTACCATGACCATATTCAAGCTAAGAAACCCGTTAATTTGATCCCAGACTTAGCTTTCCCCAGTTTTAATCAAGACTACTGCATTGCATTTATTTTTTCCCTTTAAGGACTTTTTTTTTGTGCATACAAAAACTGAGGTGTAGGCCAGAGGTGTGGGAATGAGGAAGACACAGTGGGGTGCAGAAAAGGCAGATCTATTGAAGTCCACCACAGAGGGGAGCAGCGGGGGAAGACAGGAGAGGTCCCTGTGCCATGTGGGTTGGGCATCAGACTCATGCAGGAATGAGCTGGACATGTATGGACAGTGCCAGGACCTAACCCTGCGCCTCCAAGGAAGCCCTGCATGTAGTGAGCTGCTGGTCTCCTTAGATTGTGAACTATTTCCTGGCTTTCGCAATACTACAGATGTGAGCACTTGGTGGTATCTGCCAGGTTTCTCTGCAGTACATACTGTTTTCCCCTTTGTGTATTATTCTTTAGAAACAGTCACTAGGTTCAGCCCACAATTGAAAAGGGGAGGCAAGATTAAAAGCCTTCTGAAGGGAGAAATACATTATTATTCAGAATTCTTCTTTAAAGAAAACTTTTCCCCCTGGGTGATCTTTTAGAAGTTTGATTTTTAAAAACACTTTTCAATAAATACACATTTTATTTTTTTGAGGGAAAAAAACTTCAGATTCTTTTTAAACTGCATGTATTATCAGGTAGTTCTATATACTGCACTATGAAAGACAAGCAAGCAGCTGAGTATTTGGGACTTTTTTATTTTTATACACATGACAAGATTTTACACCAAGAATAGTCAGTTAAATAGTACAAATTTACATTCATGAGGAATGTTAAAAAAGAATTCAACTAAAAAACCCACTTCTTCCTGTGACCCACAATCCCAATGTTTTACAGTGCAGGGGAGAAGGGGGTGGGGTATCCAAAACAAGTCTCTCAAAAGAAATGATTTAAATTTCACATTCCCTCTCCACACAGGATTCCAAATGGTGAGATTATAATTTACAATTCATCCTTTTCATCTGTAGATTTCTGTGGAAACAGAAGCCAAAAGACATTAAAACAGCAAAGTTATAACTATTTCTCTCTTATGTATAGGTATGTATGCATATGAATCTTTTGGTAAAAAAAACCAAAGGCTAACAGGAAAAAATAGTACATTAATGGGGCCTAGGCCATTTTTGTTATTTCAGCTGAGGTGATATAACTACTTGCCTATGCAAAATAATTTAGAAGCCACCAAGATCAAACTGCTCCTGAACAGGAAAAGGGAAAAACTGACAACGGCAAATGCTGCTGTCTACAGTGAGGCAGAAGCAAGTGGCAGACAGAGTGGGCCGAGGAAGCTGTTACAAACATCCAGTATAGACAGGTTAAAGGATGTAGAAAATCTGAAGTGTACAGTTGAAAGAGGAAAGTGATTTGCCCCACCTTTTGAATTTGGGGCGCGCGCACACACACGCACACACACACGCACACACACATACACACACAACTTTATCAGAACTAAAAATGCAATTCTATTCCTGGTATACCTTTGCTGTTTCATGTTCTTCTTCCTCTGTTCCTGCATCAATTTCCTCTTCATCATCCTGCTCTGTGTCTTCTGCTGTGTCCTCTGTTGTTTCTTCAGGTTCTTCTTCAGGTTCTTCTTCCACCTAAAAGCAGCATTCACGAGCCCATTAATGATCCTGTTACTTGGATTTGACTGCACTTTGTTTTAATGTGTGAAATTATAATCAACTTCACTCCTGTTTATCTGTAAACTTCTCTAAAGTTAATATTCAAGCTCACAAAAGAAAGGGCAAAAAGGAATTTTTTTATTTCCAGCACAGTACATTAGCAAAAGGAGTTAAAATCTTCCAATACTGGGCTCTCCCTGGTGGGGCAAGGGGTTAAAGCACTGCAGTATGAAGCTCTCTGTAAGCCATTTCAGCACAAGTGTGACCCCTGCCAGGGAGCTTCCTGACCTGCCCGCTGCTCCCTTCAGCAGTGTACTTAAGTCAGTCTGCCTGTTCTGCTTCCCACTCTGTCTCTGGTGAATCCTCTCATCCACCACACCTTTGGCCTGTACCCCCCTGTTCTGTAAGCATAAATAAATATTAAAAAAAAATCTTCAATACTGTTATAACAGAGTAGAAATTGGTCAAATTTCTCAGAGCTATCTCAGACATGGGAAACCTATTATTAAGGAAAGAAAAGAAATTAAAAAGTAGCCTACGCAGAAGGCGAGGGGTACAAACCTTTGCATCAGGATCAATGTTTAAGCTGAGGCGGAGCATTCTTTCTATTCGGTCTCCGTAAGCTTTAGTGTCTGGTAGAAGATATCCGGATCGCAGAGTTGCCGTCTCAAACAAAACTACAGCCAGATCTGAAACTGTTTTGTCATCTTCATCTTCCTGAGATGTAAGAAGTCACATTGTGTATATGAAGGCACAAATTATTCAAGTTATGAGGCACAGGAGTATAGCCATGTGAGTACTAACCTTAACCCGTCGAAGCATGTCTTTCATCAGTGGATGTCTGGGATTAATTTCCAATGTTTTCTTCTGGCTAGCATAGTAACTGGTAAGGGGTAAAATCATATCAAATTTTAGGGCTTGGTATTTTCCTATTAACTTTCATGATTATAGAAAACAAGTCTTGGAAAAATTGAAACATACTTGAATGGCTAAATCATGCCTTTCCTTTTAAAGGGGGCCTGGCATGGAGTGAAATAAAGACAAATATTTTATTTACTAATGAATCCCAAGTGCCCAATCACCTTATTGAGTGGCTAAGCCATTTTAACATCTTGTTCATTCCCTCTTAATTTATTCTCACTACCATAAATGACTCAGCTATCAAAAATATCTGGGCTGGGTCCTGCTTGTAACACCTCTCATTATTTCTTTTACCTGAGCTCAGTTCCCAATGCATTCTGAACACAGCTTCCCAACCCTGACTATTCTGTTGTTT